CCGCTGTCCACGCAGCCGCGTAGGTCCCCTCACACCTCCCTATGCAGTGACCATCCCAAGCCCAAGCCCTCGAACCTGGATCTGAACCATGAAGAAAAGGGGCCATATCTTGTCTGTGTCTTTTGGCCAGAGTATGGATATCTTTTCCAGAAACCTCCCTGGGACTCCAGGTCTCACTGGCCAGGATGGTGTCGTAAACCTACCACGGGCAAAGGAACTAAAGGCCTCATGACTGGCTTAGCCTGATCCGGGTCCAGCCTCGTTTCCAGCACAAGGCAGAGGAGGCAGGACGAAGAACTGCCAGAAAGAAGGAAGGGAAGAGGAGGCTGAAGGGAAGACAACTGACCAAAACTCCCGACGCGGCGTTAAGGACGAGAGAAAAGCCAATGACCCACTTTCTGTCTAGTTCTTGGCCGCATATGAACAAAAAATGGCAGTTGAATTAAATTACCAGCAGAGAAAGAAAACTTTCATCCCTAAGTGCCCAGCCCAGAATTTTTACCACCACACCCTGTAACCCGAGTGCGATGCTATGGGACTGAGATGCGTGTCAGCATCAGCTTCCAAATTCACTAAATTAATTCACTAATGCTCTCACCTTTAGATTCTTGCTTCTAACACCAGTGGCTACAGGAACCTTTTCCAAAAGCAGGTCAGAAAGAGAGCTACGTGGAATAAAGAGGTTCATAAAAATGTTGGTCTCCCCGTAAATTACACGTGTCTGTCAACCCTGATTTTCTTTCCAGAAACACAGTGAAACACAGCATGGTCTTAAAAGTGGGACTCATTCAGGCTGGCAGATGAGTTGCAAAGGCTATCACACTTCCTGATCTCCTTCTAGCTATCCAGTAGGATTTACCTGAAACAAGGTGTGTATGTACCCGCCTTTGACAGCCAGGAACATAAGGATGGGCTCATTTAAGCATTCCTTGAACTCATGATCTAATAGAGACATACCAAGGAAAACGATCTTCAAGCAGGAAAATAATGTACCCGAGGGGGACAAAGAGTGGAGAGGAGAGAGACCCAAATAATAAAACTCTGGACCAGAGACGTTAAAAAAGCTGCCTGGGGTCACAAGTGAGTCATTTCACGCACAGAATTACACAAATACTGTTAAGTGTGACCTGTTTGTCCTTCAAGCACTGTCAATAAGGGGACTAATTACACCTTCAAATAAGCTACAAGATTTGTTACAATTAGTTAGTATCAATCGTCAGGTGTTACATAATTGTCACTAACAGTATTAGTAACACCAATAAGATTATTATAATAGCGTTTTCCAAATGGGTATACCGAGGCACAGAGAGGCTGTGTGACTTACTCAAGGTTACACACTTGGGAAGTTTTAAACCCAGACAATTTGGTATGAGAGTCTGTTCTCTTAACCAACCATTTCACTTAGCAGCAACCCCAGAGAACATTTCAAAGCAAAATTTAATCTGAGTTGAGTCTACTTTGATTAAATGCAATAATTTTTTATATCTGACATTCTCCCAGGTTTTTTTTTTTTTTTTTTTTTTTTTTTTGCAAAGGGTTTGTCCTCCATCATTCTGGAATCTCAGCCCTGTTGTTTACATGTTATAGGACTTGGCGCCAGTCGCTGGCTAAGCTTCGGTGTTCCCATCTGTAAAGTGGGGACATTCCTATTTGTTGGAAACGTGTGTGTGCCAGATGAAGCATATAAGGCCCTGTGCTAAGCCCATCCTAAGCTCTCGGTTGGTGTTTACCGCCAGCATCGTAGTGATTATAAATGCCTCACTAGCCCTTCCTAACAATCATGTTAGGTAGGCAGGATTTATTAGCCTCGTTTCTCAGATGTGGTAAACCTAAACTCATAGAAGGGAAACAACCGGCCAGAAAGGAAACAGCCAGAACACGGACATGCCAGACTTGGGAAACGTTCCAACTCCGAGCCTCCTGCCCAGCTCCCAACCCTCAGCGTCACCCCCACACTCTTTCCCAGGAGGCACTGTTAAATGAGCCAGACCATTCTTCCAACAGGACTACGGAAAAATTTGAAGCAATTGGAAGGCGCAGGGAGAAGCTCTGAGGAATGTGAAGAAAGGTTTCAAGGTGAAAAGAGGTTTCTAGGTAGGGACAGATGAGCAGCACCTTCCCTCCTTGCAGAGCAACTTCCAGAGGCACCGAAGGGCCAGTGGTTGGCTGCACATGAACAGTGCTATCCCAAGGAGCCCCAGCGGCTTGGCCATGAGTGGGGGAGGGGAGTGTCCCCAGGCTGGGAGGTTAAGGCAGGTGGGAGCATTGTCATCTTATAAGTAAAATAGAGGAGTGTGTTTAAAACAGCATTCCACTTGGGGTTTGTTTTCTGGGTTTGGTTTGGTTTTAGTCCTTTGGTGCCTTTCTGGATTTCCATGCACTTGCTCACGATCCTATTAGTGCATCCATTGTGGTACACAGTGCCTGCGATCTGCAGGCAAAGAGCTCCGATAAGGTCAGTCCATCTTCCAAGAGATAAGATCTTAGCCGACTTCTTTAAGACTCAGTTTCTTCATCAACACCAGGAACATGATGGAAAGATTCTGGGATTTGGAGGATCTGGGTGGGAGGCCAGCCCTCCTAGAATGAAAGTCACATGCTTCCTCTTCCTACCTTATGGGGCAACTTCACCGATATTTTTTCCTTTTAAAATGAAAGTTCTTTTTTTTTTTTAAGATTTTTATTTATTTTCCAGAGAGAGAGAGAGAAAGCACAAGTGGGGGACAGCAGGCAGAGGGAGAAACAGGCTCCCCACTGAGCAAGGAGCCCAATGTGGGGCTCAGTCCCAAGACTCTGGGATCATGATCCAAGCCGAAGGCAGATGCTTAACTGACCAAGCCACCCAGGCGTCCCTAAAATGAAAGTTCTTATTTTGTATCTTTTAGTAGTAAGTTCGTTCTTTTAAATCAATACATGCCACTTGCAGAAAATCTCATTAGCATTCCAATGATTTATTCAGCAAATTGTTATTGAACACCCACTAAGTGCCAGGCACTGTGCCAGGCAGCGCTGAAAAAACAGACAGGAGGGACTCCTCCGACAATGACAATGAACCATCCCTTGTAGTTCTTTACAGCTTTTGTTGACAGCTAAAGAGACAGAGACACCAACTACTCTGGATTTCCCCACAGCACCTAGGACAGGTCACGGGCTGTGGAAGCTACATCATCTGCTCAGAATCTAGCTGAAATAATGAATCATCCTCAAACACGTGCACAAATTTCTCTAATTAGACGATATTCTATTATGCCCACAAGGTGGCGATCTTGCTTACAGTTTACCCAAGTTAAAGCACTGCATTAAAAAAAAAAAAGATTCTCAGAAGTTAACCCAAAAGATTAAAAAAAATCAAATTCAATTTATTGAGCACCTATTTAGTGTAATATACTATGTTAAGTGATAAGAGAAATAAAAGGTTAAGAAATAGTAGCCCCTGTCCTCTAGGTTAACATAGAGGGTGAGGAGCTTACACAGAGCAGGAACAGTACCTTTTAATGAATTACTGTGTTTTGATGCCTACATATGGGAGCCATAGTGACCACAGCATCAGATAAGGTCTATAAAAGGCATGATATAGCTGTGCAGTGTGGAACAGATTCAACAAAGACTCCACACTTCAGCCAATATGGAAACACTTGAGGGTATATGGGGTCACCATTAGAAGGCTCCAGATGTGGTCTTCTGATGCCTCCATTCAGCCACAAACATTAGGGTGTCTGCCTTATAACTCTAAACATTCACTCTTTGGAGAATAAAATATAATCAGTGCCAGCTGATGAGCTAATAAAGTTGGAAACCCCCATGTGCACCTGATGGGGGATAAAGAGAAAAGAAACACATGTAAGAAAGCAGATTTCTAACTCCTGCTTCCAGGAGGTGGAGTCCATCTCCGCCCCCAATCTTGCGTCTTACCTGGCAGTCTTGGTTTGGATCCGGGACACACTCCTGCAGAGAGGGAAGGGGGGAAGCCAATTCTTATCCAAGAGCCTTCTTGGTGGCTTGAACTGAGAGGTGGCTGGAAAACAGTGTGGTTTGTTCTGTCATTGTTTTTGTTTTTTTCTCCTCCACCCTCCCTACCCCCTCCCACCCCCACCCATTTATTTTTCCCTGAAACCATTAAACCAGCAAGTCAAATGTAACATCGGGACTTTTTTTTTTCCCCTTTTGAATTGAAAATCACATTTGAAGAATAAAGTGACTAGCTAAATGACAGTGAGTTTTTTTAAAAAATGAAAATGCTGGCAACTTGATAAAAAATAATGAGCTTTCCTGATGGAGGGAAAATCAGGTGGCGTGCTGCCAGAAGGTCCGAGTTTGAATTTTATTTAGTTTGTGCACTTGCTAAGTCCAGAGTATTGAGCAAGCCTTTTCCGCCTCAGTTTCTTCCTGGGCAAAATTATGTCATTTCTTTGGAGAGAGAGTCGCCGACACCCCTCCCTCCTGCACTAGGTCGGATCCCGGGTTACAATGTTCTCATAGCAACCTGAACCTCTCCCTGGAACGTAAGCTCCAGGAGCACGGGGAGAGTCTGCGGGTTTTACCGCCCTGAGACCACGCTTCGTTGAATGGATGAACGAATGGCTGGGAGCTGGTCTAGGTGTTCTATTACTTGCACAGCGAGGTTTAATTCCCCGTTGAGTCCCTCGGGAAAGACGCAACGACCAACCTCAGAGCGCACACGCCCCCAGTGACCCGCGGTGGTAGGCGCGCTCGAAAAGGGGGTGTCGGTCCAAAGTGGTCGGCTACAGACGTTTCCCCCAGCCGGGCTGGAGTCACATTCCCTGTGGCTCGGAGAGCTTCCCGTGGATTTACATAAGGCAGGGTGAATCACACCGTCAAGCGAGGAGGCGAAGGGACCCGCCCCAACCCTCGCCAGGCGGCGCCCAGAGCGCGGCCGCGGTCACTCCGAACTTCGCAGGAGGCCAGGCGCTGCCCCGGCGCGGGGGACCCGGCGGCCACTCCGACCCCCGCCGCGGCCAGAGGGGGGATCCACACCCCCTCAGCGCGCCACTTCAGCTCGGCGCCGCCCCCTCCGACGCCCCCGCGCGGGCGCCGCCAGCCCCGAAGTCCCCGACCGAAGTGGGGCCGCCTCTCCCGCTCGGAAGGAGCCATCGCCGCTTTAAGGCGAAGAGGAGGGGAAGGGGGCGGGAGAGTGGGGGGCGGGGAGCGGCGGCCGCGGAGGGGGAGGGGGATCCCCCTCGCTCCCACGTGGTCCGGGCGCCTGTGAATCGCGCCCGCCCGAGGGTCTCACAGCGAAATACAAAAGCAGCTGGGAAGCGGCGGCGAGGCGAGTTCCCAGCGCGGGGCAGAGCGCCTGGCAGAGCCCCGCGGCCGCGATGGGGCTGAGGCGCCCGGAGCCCCGGAGCCAGCACGCTGCGGGGTCCGCCTCGCCGCCGGGACCCGGGCGCCCGGGCTCGGCTTGAAGCGGCGGAGGTGCCCGGCACGGCCGGGGGAGCATGGGCAGGAGGATGCGGGACGCCGCCGCCGCCGCGGGTCTCTGGCTGCTGGCGCTGGGCTCGCTGCTGGCGCTGTGGAGCGGGCTCCTGCCGCCGCGCGCCCAGCCGCCCGAAGACCGACTCCCCCGGCGCCCGGCCCGGAGCGGCGGACCGGGGCCGGCGCCTCGCTTCCCCCTGCCCCCGCCCCTGGCGCGGGACGCCCGCGGCGGCTCCCTGAAAACTTTCCGGGCGCTGCTCACCTTGGCGGCCGGAGCAGACGGCCCGCCCCGGCGGCCCCAGGGCGAGCGCGGGCGGCACGTGCCAGCCGGGCGGCCCGGGCCCGAGGGGCGCGCCGCGGTGCACGGGGGCGTCTTCTGGAGCCGCGGCCTGGAGGAGCAGGTGCCCCGCGGCTTCTCCGAGTCGCAGGCGTTGGCGTGGCTGGAGGCGGTGCGCGGCGCCCGGGTGGTGGCCCTGGAACGCGGCGGCTGCGGGCGCAGCTCCAACCGGCTGGCCCGCTTCTCCGACGGCACCCGCGCCTGCGTGCGCTACGGCATCAACCCCGAGCAGATCCAGGGCGAGGCCCTGTCCTACTACCTAGCGCGCCTGCTGGGCCTCCAGCGCCACGTGCCACCGCTGGCACTGGCCCGGGTGGAGGCTCGCGGCGCGCAGTGGGCGCAGGTGCAGGAGGAGCTTCGCGCCGCGCACTGGACGGAGGGCAGCGTGGTGAGCCTGACGCGCTGGCTGCCCAACCTCACGGACGTGGTGGTGCCCGCGCCCTGGCGCTCCGAGGACGGCCGGCTGCGGCCCCTGCGCGCCGCCGGGGGCGAGCTGGCCAACCGCAGCCAGGCGGAGCTGGTGGACCTGGTGCAGTGGACCGACTTGATCCTTTTCGACTATCTGACGGCCAACTTCGACCGGCTCGTCAGCAACCTCTTCAGCCTGCAGTGGGACCCGCGCGTCATGCAGCGCGCCACCAGCAACCTGCACCGCGGCCCCGGCGGCGCGCTGATCTTTCTGGACAACGAGGCGGGCTTGGTGCACGGCTACCGGGTGGCGGGCATGTGGGACAAGTATAACGAGCCGCTGCTGCAGTCGGTGTGCGTGTTCCGCGAGCGGACAGCGCGGCGCGTCCTGGAGCTGCACCGCGGCCAGGACGCGGCGGCCCGGCTGCTGCGCCTCTACCGGCACCACGAGCCTCGCTTCCCGGAGCTGGCCGCGCTCGCCGACCCCCACGCTCAGCTGCTGCAGCGCCGCCTCGACTTCCTCGCCAAGCACATTTTGCACTGTAAAGCCAAGTACGGCCGCCGACCCGGGACTTAGCGTCCCCCGGAGATGAAAGGGAGAGCCCCCGGCCTGGGGAATGGATGATGGGGGAAGGGCCGTCGTCTGGGCCACCGCCTGGGACCGGCCAACGCCCAGCCAGTGGCCCGAGCGCCATGGAGGCTAAAACTTCACGGCTTCGCCCACCTGCCCCTTTCTCTCGGTCTCCTGCTGTTTCCTTTCGAAGTTCCGGGAGGACGAACTCACCCGGGCGAGAAGCTTAACAGCCCCTCCGCCCCGCCTATAAAAGGATTCTGCCCTGGGCCAGCACGGAGTTTGGATCCGAAGAAACTGGAGGCCGGAGTTTGGCCGCCGGGTGGTCATCTCTGTGGGAGATGCATCCCGTTCCCCGGCCCCCTCATTCCCTTTCCGAAAAAGGAAAACTTCTATTTGAGCCGTTGAGCTAATTGTGCATTTCCTACCAAACGCAGCGCTGGTGGCCCGGGAGCAGGGCTGTGACATTGGCTGGTGGAGCCCCCTTCCTGTGTTCTGCCTTTGTTCCAGCACCGTGATGGTGAGATCACTGTTAGGAGCTGGGGGAAGGCTCCCTCTATGACAAAGAGTGCAGGACCTTCAGAACCCGGGGGGGGGGGGGGGGGCGTCCTACAAACCCTGACAATTTGTCAGCCTCGCTCCTTACCACATGTCTTTTTGCCCTAAAGGCTACAAATACAGGACAGGCAGTATGCACTGAATCGAGTAATGAATTTCTTCTTCCTCCCCTCTCCCCTCCCACCAAAATTTTGACAGTGATGATGTCCACCAGAAGAAAATGAGTTTCATGCACTTTACTTTGTTTTTATTTTAGTTTTTTATCAAGAAAAACTTTTTTATTTGACAAAATTTGCCTTTTGTGTGTATATATGTGCATAAAGTGTGTTGTAAATATACTAAACAAACTTATATTTCAATAAAAGGGAATTTAAAATTTAGAATTTAAATTCTGTGGTTTTAACTGTGGGAGATTTCTGATGCCCTACCTGCTTTTAAAATAAGCTTTGGGGTTTCTCCCTTGTGGATGTGCTTTTTAAAACAAAGGATGCATATGTATCCCAGTTGTGATTACCGGAACTCACAGAACTGAACAAAGACAAGAGCACTTTCTCTGTCCTGTTCACTCAAATGAACCCCTAGTGCAGGGAATTTCAGAGTTCAGTAGAGAATGTGGGGGAGGGAGAGGGAAGGAAAGTATTCTATTTCCGGGCAAATAAAACTGATATAAAAGGATTTCACTGTAATATATTTCTATATTAATCATTTGGCAAATATGATAGAACCAGATGTGCAGACTAAAATACGACAAATGCCCCCTTTTTAAACCTAACTACAATGGGCACGTGTTGCACATTTTTTTCAGCATCGTAATTACCATGCATCACGATATGTACATAATAAACTGAGCACATATTGCAAACAGGTAGAGAAAGTCATAAATTAATTGTTCTCTTTATCTCCTGGCATTTAAAAAAAAAATCTCCTGGCATAAATTCCATTGCATCCAGGAGATCATAATCTCCAACACCTGGACTCCTACAGCCCTCTTAAGAGACTGTTGGGTTTTTCCCCTGGCGCTAAGTGCAACATTGTATCAATGTTGCTAATTGCAACATTCCCCTCAGAACAGTCAGGGTGAGACCAAGAAAGTGGGCAGTACTTTGTATGGGACCCTTGAATCCTCACAGTTTGGGGACTGCAAACTTAGAAAATACTTTTGGATTGTCTTAAGCTCCTGTTCGACCCATGGGGAAAGAGGAGAAGGGTTTGGTTTGTGTTTTACAACCCACCAGTGTTGTATCTTGACGTTTTATTTGATATTTGGGTCCAAGTGATCTTGCCTATTATCTTATTTTTATTTAATGACTTCTAACTCAACTTTTGGTTACTGTAACCGTTATTTATTTGATGTGCATTTGTAAGCCTAGGGTTTTATAGACTCCTGAAGATAATTGAATCTCTGTAGGTTCCCCTTCCCAAAATCCCCTGTAATTTTTCACATTACAACATAGCCTGTATGATTTCAGCATTTAATACCATTCCTACGCTTTCAGTGCCTGATGCTAAGCCAAATCTTATTTCAACTGAAAAAAAAAAAAAAAGTCCATAAACTTTGTGGGATAAGACAAATTTTTTCATTAGCACAGCCACAGAATGTTATCGATAGGGGCGGTATCTTTTTTTTCAAGGCATAATTCATGTGAGACCTCTGATAATTACACCTTTCAAAAAGAAACGTTTTCCATTTCTGATGATTAATAACTATATGAGAATTGCTGCCTGAGTCACCCCAAGCTGCTTCCAGAAAAGGATAAATATTTAGCAACCTGCATTTTTGCCCAACATGTTCATCGAGAAAAACAATGAGCAAGAATAAGTTTCACAGACTGCACAGGAAATACATGCCGACTCCTGAGTAGAATCAACACTGGTACGTTCTGGGCCAGCAACATTCCCTACATTCCTCTTAAACTTTAGTTCCAAGCCTAGACTTGGCCATTAACCCAAAGCAAGAAACTAAGCATAATTTAAATGGCTCTTCTCGGATTCTTTACTGAACCATAGCTGCCTGTTCGAGAAATAAGTTTAATTACATGGTGCAGTTGGTAAGGGAACCAAGACTTAATTACAGAGAAGAGGCTTTAACTGTTGCTATTCCTCTTGGAGACTCAGTAGTAGGCTATGGCATGGAAAGATCAATTAAAGATTTGCCATGTCAGTGGATACTGCTAGGGCTAAATCATTTTTCAGATGAAAAAAAAAAAAAAAAACACCCAAAACTTTCAGGCTGCTGCATGATGTGAAGAGTAATGGATTCTGCAGGCAAACTATATTCTGAATTCTGTCCCTTACCTATTTACTTTCAGCGAATCATTTAACCTAGTTCCCTCATCTATGAAATGGAAATTCGATCAGAGTATTGTGGGATTTAATGTTAACGTATAAACCATAAGGGGCACGTAATGGGTCCTTCCAAAAAAAAAAAAAAACCAAAACCCACTTCCTCTTCATCTTTCAAAAACCTCTTGCCCTTCTTACACTCAGTAAACCTCAACTAATTTTCATCATCAAAGCGAAACCTAGCAGTTTCCAAGGTCAGGTTCAATGTTTGAAGTGTGGTAATAAATGAATTCAACAAAGTACGGAGGAATGTCTCCCACCACTATGTAAAGCACTGGATGAGGCCAAGGGCGCACGGTTGATCTCTACATGGGCCTGAGAGTGTGGTTTCTTGCACCCGAGCAGATTCAGCTATCCTAGATACAGGAGGGTAATTTTTTTTAAGTAAATGACTTGTTACAGATTCATCACCCCTTCTAGAAAGCATCAAAAAGTGATGACTCTTTGCAAGAACAATCCTCCCAATTCCTTCTGCCAAGAGAAAGTAGGCAGTTGACCTCTTCTCCCTGGATTTGACTATTGATTAATTCCCTCCGTCAATGACCTAGTTTTACACTATTAAGAGTATTCGGGGTGCCTGGGTGGCTCAGTTGGTTGAGCAACTGCCTTCAGCTCAGGTCATGATTCTGGAGTCCCAGGATCAAGTCCCGCATCGGGCTCCCTGCTCAGCAGGGGGTCTGCTTCTCCCTCTGAACTTCCCCCTTCTAATGCTTTCTCTCTTTCTCTCTCTCATTCCCCCCCCCAAAAAAAGAGTATTCACCCTCCTGTCTTCGTATCAGGAAGAAAAACCCATTATTGTAACATCTCAACTCCTAACCTTCTGCCTATGGCTGCAGCTAGGAGAGTCCTCGAAGACCTAAAGGTTGATTACGTGTATTAAATGAATAAATATTTGTAATATTCTCAGAACCATGCCTGGCTCATAGTAAATGCAATGTTAGAGTTTGTTTCTTGGTGAGGGAGATAGTTTTCTCCTCTAAGTCAAAATCAGAGGCAGTCTGAGTCCCAGGCAGGATCCTTTTCCATCATCCTGCCTTAGCTTTGCAGTCATAGAACACTTTCTGCAGGCTTCTATTTTGGCTCAGGAAGACCAGCCAGAGAGCATGAGTCTGGCAGGAATTACCTAAAGCCCACAGTTGTCAGCTGGTTGTCTCCTTTCTGAGAATGTCTTCTATGTGAGCGGTCACAGGCACCTCCTCTTTTTTCACAGGGAGGCTGTGATTCTGTTTCTCATGTGGCTCTTCAACTCCAGGCTGCAGTGAGCTGGGGAATTTTGCACCTTCTGAGCCATCCAGTATGTGGATCATCCAAAGCCAGGCATGCATTATTTGTCCCTCCACACACCTGCTCCATCTCACAGACCCACTGATGCTGTATGGTGTAAAGTTGGCAGAATTAGGAGTGAAGGAGAAAGGGGATTCCGGTCTACGTCTCACTCACATGTCACTTGAGAAAGTCAATTCCCCACTCTGGTTCCAGGTGTCTTACCTAGGACAGAAAGTGTTGGATTACATCGGTGACTTTCCCATTTTTTCTGACCAGAACTCACAGCAAGGCACACACTTTACATTGTGAACCAACATGTACACACACACACACACACACACACACACACACATACACACAGGCATACAACTGAAACAAAAGTTTCTCAAAACAGTATATGCAAAATGCTTTTGATATTCAATATTTTCTAGCCCTCCTCTCACTTTACTTACCAGTGTTAGCTGTGACCCTCTAAACAGATTTCATAACTCATGAGTGGGGCATAGACTACCCACTGGAAGACATTGGATTAGATGATGATGAGTAAGCTCCCTTCCAGCTCTAAGAGTCCAGAGAAATTCCATTTATAACCAATTTATCAATGACTCCAATTTTTCCCCAAAGGGAATACAGACTTCAATTTTGCATGCTCTTTAAAAACAGAAGACTGAAGCGCTTTCTTTCAAAATATTATTGTAAGGATTACACAAAATCTTCCCTAAGTTCTGCTTATAAACACCTTTAAGATTCCCTTAATGTGGGAAGTAACTTGCAGTCTGTTCCAACCACATGTGAGCAAATAGTGCTGTTATAGGGCTTTGCGGGGGAGGGGGAAGTCTTCGCATCTCTGTGAAGGCCCAAGGACAACTCAAGAGGACAGTTTCTTTTCTGTGTATTCATAAAGATCAGATGTAGGAGTCATAATTTTTTAATGTGACTGTTTTACCAATTTCTCTTTCTATGTCCTGCTGTGGGGAAAAACTACATTAATAAACTATGTCTCGATGCTGCCTAGCCGGAAGATTTTTTCTCTGCGGGACTCCACCAAATATAGCTAACGGAATGCTCATTTTATTTATCTTTTCAACTTTCTTTCCATTTAGGATATGTCTTCTTGACACTTTTGAAATTTTTCTCTTAATAGCACCTTAATGTGTTTGGGAGAATAGAGAACTAATTGTTCATTGAGTAATAACAACAACAAGAAAGAACTCTTTCCCCCCTCCCCTTTCTTTGGCGCCATATGGTACCTTTTATGGTTTTCGCAGTTATTTTACACCCTATCCAGAAAAATTAAATAGCTTATGGACCTGGCATTTTTCCAGTGCCAGCTTAGAGCTTTTCCTTTGCTGAGAAATTGTGGGTTAATAATAGAGAAATGTCACTTCTAATTTGATGGTCCTACATCATGCATTTTCTCCGCCTGTTTA